TCCTTTTGAGCCTGGCAGAGTGGCCAAACTAACCAATCATAACATCAGAATTCTAAGACCTGAGAGAGAGCTAACTTCCCAGAACATTGCTTTGTGTCCCTCTCAACAGAAATACTTTAACAATCAGGAGCTCCTCAGTTGCTCACAGCAAATTCCACCATGGAGTTTACAAAGACTTATGGCTAGAACAGCCATACCAGGTAATTTACTACACTGCAGTGGGCCACAAGCACCTTAATTGTGAATCCCATGTAGTCATCTGGTGGGAGTCACCAGACTACGGTGAGAAAGCAACTTCTGTGTGCCAGGATCTGGGCTGTGTGCACACAACCTGGGTGTCTCTCGTATTTTGCAGTTAGGTGCTGTCGACTCCTAGTGACCTTGTGCACCACCGAAGGAAACACTGCCTGGCCCTGCACCGTCCTCACAGTCGTCGCTGTGCTTCAGCTCATTGTTGTAGCCACTTTGTCGGTCCATCTTGTTGAAGGTCTTCATACTTTACCAAGCATGATGTCCTTCTTCAGGGACTGGTCCCTCCTGAGAACATGACCACAGTACGTGAGACAAAGTCTCGCCATCCTTGCTTCTGAGGAGCGTTCTGGCTGTGCTTCATCCAAGACAGATGTGTTCATTCTTCTCGCACTCTGTGGCACGTTCGGTATTCTTTGTCACACCACGATTCAAAGGCATCAGTTCTCTGATCTTTCCTACTCATCATCCAGCTTTCACATGCATTTGAGGCGACTGAAAATACCATGGCTCGGGTCAGGTGCACCGTAGTCTTCAAAGTGACCTCTTTGCTCTTTAACACTTTAAAGAGATGTTTTGCAGCAGATTTGTCCAGTGCAATATGTTGTTCATTATCATATATCTCTTATGGTGCCACTCAAATGTCATCTCTTCTAGGGAGTAAACACTTCCCTGATTCCTTACCCCCTATGCTGCCAGATTGAAACTGGTTTCTCGAGTGTCCACAGCACTCATTCCCTCTCTCTCAGAGCATGGTGCTCTTTCTTCGCGGTGTTCTCCCTGCTGGTGCTGTGTCTTGTTCTCTCAGGAGAAGACTGGGTGCCTGCCCAGCAATGCATCCCGCTTCTGCAGAATGCTGAGGGCTCACCCCATTTGTGGAGCCCACTGGAATCCACCCTCTCCCTTTTTCTCACACTCCTTCTCTTCCAGGGCTAAAGGTGCTGTGGCTGATGTGTTCCCTGGGAACTCAAGCTCGACCCTCACCCCTGTGAGGCATACAGTAAAGATAGAGAAAGATGCCCTCCTTCAGGACTACGGATTTCACCTTTCCGAAAGCCTTCCTCTCACAGTGGTGGCTGTCACGGCAGGTAGGAGTGGCCTGGCAAACGAGAGAGGAGTTGACTTCCTGTGGGGAAACAGCATTGGTTCTCTGCCCTTTAACAAAATGCTGGAAGTGTTGCCCCTGGTAGTTAGAAAGGACGTGCCTGATTCTGACCTAATTCTGTTTAGGGCTTTGCATCTACCTTCCTTTGGTGCTGGGAGGGAGGGAGCCCCAGATGCTCCTGCTAGTCTGCACCCCAGACTGCCGCCAGCCTCGGCTGGAACTTTGCCTACCCACAACACCTGAGCCAGTCTCTGGGCCATGAGAGCATTGGGATCAGCTGGTCTTCTCTTTGCTTCAAGCTGGGGAGAGTTTCCAGTCAGCGGGCAATCGAACTCTGGGTTAGTTTTCACTTGAGTCTGTGGACTAGGGGCTGTGCCCGGGAGCCAGGAGCAGGCTAGGGATGCCTGGTGTGTGTTCTGCCAGGCAGTGAGGAGCAGGCTAGGAATGCCTGGTGTGTGTTCTCCTGCCGGGCAGTGAGGAGCAGGCTAGGAATGCCTGGTGTGTGTTCTCCTGCTTCGGCTGCGTACTTCTGTTGGTGCTGGGACTGGTTGGAATCTCTTCGTTCCGCTTTATGCGCACGGCACACACAGCCCGCGCACACCAGAGTTCTGCAGAGATGGCGGTAGCAGACTCCCTGGCCCACTCTCTTGGTTTAAAGGCTTCTGCTAGGCTTCCCCAGGACCTTCTCTCAACATCCTGTGAGGCTGATGGATGGATGGTGGGTACACTGTCCACGATTTATAAACAGGAGCGATGAGATCCACGTAAACCCAGGGTGGACTAGGGAGTGGGGTGCGGGTGCAGACAGTCAGGTCTGCCGCTGTGACATGTGGGGTCTGAGCTCTCCTGGCACGAGCAGCTGTGACTGGTTTTCTGTCCCACAGGAGGCACCGCTCACGGCAAGCTCTTCCCCGGTGACCAGATTCTGCAAATGAACGACGAGCCTGCTGGAGACCTTTCCTGTGAGCGAGCAGTTGACATTCTGAGGTACTGAGACTTTGGTCATCCACAAAGCCACACAGATTATCACAGAGCAAAGGTGGCCAACAGCCACGGCATAACTGAGCTCTGTAATGTTATTAAGGCCTGGTCTTCTTCACAATAGCAAGAGCTGCCTTGTTTTAGGGTTCCTGCTTTGTCTGTTCAGAGGACTGCTCTGGGGGTGCTGTCACTTGCTCTCTGCCCTCTCCTACAAAGCTGGGAGGCGTCAGACTGCTGTGTTTACTGGGCCCCTGCTATGCCCCAAGCACTGTGCCAGGCCCTGTGGGGGAGGTAGTGATGAATAGCACGTACCCTACCTTCTGAGGATTCAAAGGGCTGTCGTAATAGATGCCAAAGGTTGAACTAAACTGATAGCAAATTTGGTTGCTCTTCTCCAACCCTCTTGGTATTGTTTCTCCAGTGCTTTTTAGCTGTTGCCCGGGGTGTGGTTTCACAGATGTAGCGTCTGCCACCTTCTACCTGGGGTCATTGTGATTTGTGTCCATGTCTTGCCTTTTGCATGATCCCTCAAGAGCAGGGCTTGGTCTCAGAGTCCGTCCACGTTGGAGCACGTATCCCAATTCCGTCCTCTTAGTGGCTAGATAATATTTCACTGCATATATAGACCACGTGTTGTTTATGCATTTGTCTGCTGATACACACCTGGGTTAGTTCCACTTTTTTGGCTCACCTGAATGTTGCTTTGGTGAACAGTGGTGTAAGTAACGTGTCACTCCCGTCTATTTGCTGAGCACCCACTCTGGGCAAGAAACGCTCTGGGGAAATGGATCTCACTCTCCAGACACGTAGAGGCTGGAGTGTAGACACCGTCTGTGAGCACCGCGCTACAACTGAGAGCAGAT